ACTTGTGTAGTATAGTGGTTAGCGTGCTATTCTCGAAAGAAAATGTTACTCAGGTTTTTTATTTCTAGGATTCGAACCCAACGAGTACCACATTATTTTTAAAAAAAAAAAAAGAATAAATTTTGCCGAGAAAATTTTCCTCAGAAAAGTTTTTTTATCATAATTTCATAAACTTCAATAATGAGAACGTTACTCTGAATACAAAATCCACAAATTTAACATGATTTTTATATATCTGAAGCTATAGGCTTTCTGCAAGCTATGTTCACCCATCTCCTTTTCTTAAAGTTCTTTGGAGTTTCTGAGAATCCATATCTTATTTACACCACTTCTAGAATATGTTGTAGCACGTTTCTCCTTCAGAGCAGTATTTATTTTTGTAAGGAATAAAAGATAGGGGGTTTTGTTTGATGTTCAATATCAAGGCACCGTAAGGTTTGTTTATAATTGAAAAGTTTGGAAACGACAGTTTGGGAATATTTAATTGTAGGAAATGCAGGGTCTAGACTTCAACTTGATATATGGTGGAATGCATGCAAGACTGAATCTTTTAAATGATAAAATATGTTACTAATTTTCGCAGCATCTATTCCTTTGTTGACAAATCTAAGCTTAGGGAATGGACGGGTTGAATCAGAATTATTGTCTTCCGACATACGTGGTAGCATTTAGAGCCTTTGCTGGGCAACATCCATGATCATGGACTTGCTTTAGTTTCTTTAAGTTTAGTGCGGATGTGACGAAGTCCGACTTGTTTACTGACGTAAGGTAAAAGTGGATAAAAAAAGGCATCATGTATAACTATTGTATGATCGATGACTACGCCTACGACTAGGTGTATTGTTCAAAAGTCCCACCACATTCACACTCACACATTGTGGGCTTGAAAGAATCCCTCTATTATTTATAGCCATGCCTTTCTTCCGTCACACTCTGTGTTTAGCTCAGTTTCAAAGAAACTTTTCAAGATATTTTTATCAAAATTCAAAAGCTGATACACATTGATGAGAGGTATTCAACTGCTTCAACATTTTTTTGACCTTGACCATTTCTTGGACATTGACCCCACTTTTCAAAAATTTGTGTTAAGTTTGGTTTCAAAGAAACCATTTCAGATATTTTTATAGAACCTTTTACAGGTATGCTGATACATATTGGTGAGTCATCAATTCAAAGTCATCAAAATTTTTTGACCTTGACCTTTCCTGACCTTGCCCTCACTTTTCAAAAAATTGTGCTTAGTTTCTCAAGATATTTTTATCAAACCTGACATGCTGATAAATGTTGGTTTGAGCTATTCGATTTGATCAACATTTCTTACCTTGACCTTTAATATTTCCTTGAACCTTGGCCACACTTTTCTTAAATAAGAGTATAGCTCAGTTTCTAAGAAACTATTCAAGATATTTTTATCAAACTTCATATGCTTATACATATTGATGAAAAGCTATTCAATTGCATCGAAATTTTTGACTTTGACATTTCCTTTGACTTTGACCTCACTTTTCTCAAATTTGTACTTCCTAGTAGCTGAATTTTAAAGTTACTTATCAAGATTTTTTTTATCAAACTCCATATGCTGATATATTTCGGTGAGTGTTATTGAATTGCATCAACTTTTTTACCTTGGCCTTTCCTTCGACCTTGACCTCATTTTTTCTAAACCTTGCATTCAACTCAGTAAACCATTCAAGATATTTCATCAAACTTCATATACTAGTACTTACACAGATTTTCATGTTGCATTACTAATGAACTCCGGGCGAGGTATTCGTGTCTTATGGACATATTTCTAGTTTACTATTTGTTATTTATTGTTAATTCTTCATATTTATGATGTTGCTTATTTTTTAGGCTTGTTATTTTTAGTAATAATCCAGATTTAGTGTCATTTTTGCCCCATAATTAAACTCTGAAGTGTTGATGGTAGTTCACAATGGGTGATGTAATATTAATCCAATAACAGCATGTCACTTTGCTTGATCAAACGCATAGCCGTAGGAACGGGGGGGGGGGCGTGCCCCCCCCCCCCAAATAATTTTGCCGATATATAGATTACTATAGAAAACATAGCTACTATATGCTTGTTCCCCCTCTTGTCAAGGAATTTTGGTAGTTGATCGTGCCCCCAACTGAAAATGTATAGAAATGTATAGCTGTGCCCCCCCCCCCCCATTAACTAAAATTGCTACCTACGGGCCTGATTAGCGTGTTAAAATTTTAACTGTTGATCACCATATTTCTCATTGTACGAACTTGTGTTGTTGCTTACTCCTAAACAACCATTCAGTGCGATTGGTCAGTATTACTGGGTCAGTGGTATTGTTGGGTTCCATGTTTCATACGCAAAGTAGTAGGCCCATTCATTTCACTGAAACTATATATCCAAACGATGAGTAATATGGTAATCAATTACCAGGTAATGAAATTTTACCACACTCGATTAAGCGAACTGTTTGTTTGTTGTTTAACATCCCTCTCGAGAAGTTTTCACTCATATGGAGACTGTTGTGTATATGGTGTCAGTACTCCAGCATGCTAGAGGTTCACGGCGAGATACTTTTGACTTGGCGCCGAGGTATATAAGGAGCGTAGGGACGTTAACCGAGGCTCTTACTTGTAGAGTAATGGTGTCAGGTCAAGTGAGGTCAGGCCACAATTCCGGAATATAATGACTTGTACGTTTTGGTTTTTAGTTTGGGATCAGTGAATAAATGGTCGAAATGTTAAAAGGTGTGTGGTCGTTTCTCCCTGTAAGAATCATCTTGTCCAGCCTCTCATTCCCCAAACAAACAGCTACGACAAGACGCCACCACCTTGCGGGTGGAGGGCTGCAAATTTGTACCTATTCTCGGCACCTAGGGCCATTAAGCAGTGAGGGATTTTTTCGTGCCAATACCTACTGCGACACGTGACCTCGGTTTATACGGTCTCATTGGAAGGACCGGTCTCCACGTCCCGCAGTGGATTCGAACCCGCGACGTAAGGATCAACTCCTTACTCCGCGACTCTAGCGCAGACGCTCTAACCACTGCGCCACGCGGGCGACTTTAAGTGAACTGACGTGCTGTTATAAGAATGATAGTTCATCTTCCTAGTATTTTCCAATTCATAGTTATTCATATCAGTGTTAGTTTATAGAATTTTTGATCATTTTCATAAGTCTGGAGGCCTAGTAGAAATATATTTTTATGCCCACGTATCGAAGATTCGGGGGTATATAGTTTTTGCCTTGTCCGTCCGTTTGTCTAGCTGTCTGTTTGTCCGCAAAAACTTTAACATTGCCCATAACTTTTGATTGGTTAGAGCTATGGCTTTCATATTTCACATGTGTATTCTTTGTGACAAGACCTTTCTTTGGGTACCATCATATTTGACCTTGACGTTTGACCCAGTTTTGCCAAATTTTACTCAACTTCAACCTTGGCCATAACTTTTGAACGGTTGGCGCTAGGACTTTCATACTTCACATATGTAATCCTTGTGACAAGACCTTCCTTTGGATACCAACAACTTTGACCTTGAAGTTTGACCGACTTTTGGAAAACTTTAACCTTGGCCATAACTTTTGAAAGGTTGGTGCTAGGGCTTTCATACTTCAAATATGTAGTCCTTGTGACAAGAACTTCCTTTGGATGCCAACAACTTTGACCCTTTGACCTTGAAGTATGACCTACTTTGGAAAACTTTAACCTTGGTCATAACATTTGAATGGTTGGTGCTAGGGCTTTCATACTTCACATATGTAATCCTTGTGACAAGACCTTCCTTTGGATATCAACAACTTTGACCCTTTGACCTTGGCATAGGAGTTTGACCTATTTTTGGCAAACTGTAACCTTGGACATAACTTTTGAACAGTTGGTGCTAGGGCTTTTATAATTAATATGTCTATTCCTTGTGACAATACCTTCCTTTGGATACCACCAATTGTAATCCATTGACCTTGGAAGTTGACCTACTTTTGAAAAACTTTAACCTTGGTCATAACTTTTGAACGATTAGTGCTATGGCTTTCATATTTTACATGTGTACTCCTTGTGAGAAGGCCTTTCAATGGGATTAATTTTGACCATTTGACCTTGATGCTTGACTTACTTTTGAAAAACTTTAACCAATTCCACATCTATTCAATGGTTGCTGCTAGGGCTTTCATATTTCACAGGTATATTCCTTGACTCATGGCCTTACTTTGGGTACCAACATATTTGATTTGCATATGAAAAAGTTTAACCCTTGCTATAAGTTGCCATATGGGAGCATCTTGTTGTATATTTAAAATATGTATTTATAATATTATTTATTATCATTTACAAAGGTTTATTTTCACTTTATTAAATATATAAAACTTTCAACAGTGTTTTCATTTAGCATTGATCATAGTTCAGAAATCCCCTTACCTGGGTTGATCATAATAACTGGAGGCAGTGAACCAGTTTAAGCTGAGATGGCAGGTAAATTTGAATATTTTTATTACATAAGAGTTCTATTTCCGGTTACATACCGTTTTGAGAAGCGCTGAACATACTAGTCTCTCCCTCCTGTGTCTCGCTGTGTTTATGAGCCATTAATTTAGTTTGATGTCTTATTTGGATCCAAACACATTGGAACATCATCAAAAAATTATTTACTGAAATAAATCTGATCATAAGTAGAATATAATTATGCTTATTGCATGTAACACAATATTTCATCATATGACAGACTTCCCCATTTATTTCTGTCGCATGGCCATTCGAGGTCTTTGTTTGCCAACATCATCATGCAATGCTTCATAGTCAAAAATACTCCAAGTAAAGTTTTTAGTTTAAATATGACAACAGTATAATTCTGAGATCTGACTCCACAAGATAATGGACAATTTAAATCTACCATAATAAATACACGAAGTAATGAATATAATGTCTGAATAAAAAAAGAATTAGATTTCATCACAATTTTCTTGCATTTATTCCGATATGAAAAGATATATATAAAAGTGAACACAAGGGACATAAAAGTTCTTGCTAGGAGTTGTTGGGGCTTGGTATATCTGTTATTTCTTGCACATGGTCTATAAGTCCATATTCCTTGGCTTCTTGTGGAGTTAAATACTTGTCTCGTTCCATTATTTGTTCTGAAATATATAATCAATCCAGGTCCTTGTAAAAATTATAAAAAAAAAAGTAAATAATTTATACTATTGAATTTATACACAAGTTTATAGTTGAAAAACACATTAGACATTGCAAACCTTTGACAAATGAAGACTCCATGTTCTTGTATTGCTTTCTCTTTAACAAAATCAGATAAACACAAATTGACCAAGTTTGATGATTCTAAGCCAAATATTTTTCCAGTTATGAGGCTGACAGGGTTTTGCCATATTTGGGCATATCATCTTAATTAAAGGTTACAGTGACCTAACTTTAATGTGCAACACATCATGTACCCATGATGCAACAGCTGACAAAGTTTGATGATTCTAGGCCTTGTAGTACATGTGTATTTAAGGAGGTTGGATCCTGCCATCAAAAGTAATGAGATTTTTTTATCAAGTATATTTTTAGAATTTATACACATAGCTTTATTAAAAAACAAAACAAAAAATGGGGGTCAATGCGCTTCTTTTGGCGCTACTGAGCATTTAGTTTGACCTTTTTGCACTGTAAATACGTCTTACACATAAATCAATTTTTAAAGTTTTTCCTTCAATATTTTTTGTTCAAATAAATTGTGGTGAACAAACACAGTCTTATTTCATCTTAAATAGACCCATTAAAATTTGTAACAACAAAGAAATTTTCGAATTACTCCGCATGTTCAACTATTTGACCTTTTTGCACTCAAACATTTTCATTTTTCTGGCATTAAAATTTAACAAGCAAAAAAGTCATTTGAAAGTAATGACATTTTACTGAATTTAAGAAGAATGGTTAAAAGTATCGTATATAATCAGAAAAGAAAATTAAAAGTGGGGGTCTGTGATGTTAATTTTTAGATATTACTAAAATAGTGCCAATTTGAAGCTTAAATTAGGGCTATCTTTTTCTTCATTTCCACAATATATTTGCTATATTTATCAAATATGATGATAGAATTCATGACAGTTTATTTAATATATAATTTAGGACCAGTATAAAACAGTTCACTGCACAAAATAACTCTGTGTGCAGACTGCATGTAAAAATAGGAATCCAAACTTAACATACTTTGAATACTTCAAAAGAGAAAAAATGATCATTTTCTTCTAAAAAACCTTCCGCCACACAATATAGTTCCTCACTTAATGCTTTTGGTATGGAATTTAATCATGGAGTTTTAACTGAATATAGTTAAATTGGCATTGTAGAATCCAAATTTAAGAATTAAAACATTATGCAGAATTTTTGAAATATAGGTTAAGATAAGAATCTGCTCAAAAGCTCAGGAGCAAACCTCGTTAAGTTATAATTTAAAAAAATCTAAAAACAAAATGACTAAGTCCATAAAAATTTAATAAAACACATGTGGAATAAAGAAAAATTGTCCAACTATCATGAAAATAACAGGTGCACATCTTTATATGGTGAATAAAAATTGTATAAATTTTCTAACAAATTCATGCAGAAGTTTTTAAGAACATGTCCAGACAAAATCATGTCTACAGACAGACGGACATGCTGATTTCAATATACCCCCCAAACTTTGTATGCAGGGGGTTATAATAAAGAGTTAATCGTGCTAAAATGTTCATTCAATGTAAAAGTCATTGATCTTTTGAAATAGACTGTGAAAGCTGTGAAATTCACGTTGCAGTAGGTGCTGGTGTGACATTCAAGTTTCCCTGCAATGGCCTGAGTCTATGATATGGTTCACATTTTGACTTTTTACAAACAGCTGGTTATGACAATGTTTGATAGCAGTGAACAAGAGGCTCGAGCCACAAAGGTCACCTAAACATATAATACAACCCTCAATCCCTATACATAATGGCCTCTCCTGGTCTTTGAATTATAATGTTTATATATAAGGTACTTTTGTCTTGTTTTCATTTACTGAGTATCTATTATTTACAAGTCAACCTGGCTATTACAAACTGTGAAAGTACTCTTTTTAATATATATATTACATTTACAAATTCTTGTGTAATTCTTTTGTTCTATTCACCTATCAATTACAATATTTATATTGATTAATTACAATTTGTGAAGGACAAAGGGGAATAACTTCTCTTTATTCCCATACATGATCACAACAGAGCCCCTACTTAAATACAGAACCCCAGTCTTGCGGCCCATGAATTTCACAGTTTTGGAAGAGGCACTCTTTCTCATCATACCCATGCACTTACTTTGTCTGCTGAATACACAAGATCAAAAGATGTTCAAAGATAACTATATAATCATAAGAGCCTTGCCCTAGTTCCAGAACCTTGACCCAGGATAGATGATTTTCATAATTTTGGAAGAAGCACCCTTGCTTATCATTACTATGCACTTAGTTTTTCTGCCTAATACACTGGAGTAGAGAAAAAGATGTTCAAAGAATTAATGCATTTTTACTATATGATCAATGGAGCCCAACCTTAACTACAGAACCCCTGACTCAGGAGCCAAGAATTTTGCAGTTTGGAAGAAACACTCTTGCTCATAATAACCATGCACTTAGTTTGTCTGCTTAATAACCTGCAGCAGAGAAGAAGATTTTCAAAGAATTAATGCATTTTCACTCTATAACCAATAAAGCTCTGTCCTAACAAAAGGACCCTTGACACAGAGGCCATGAATTTCACAATTTTGGAGGAGGCACCCTTGCTGATAATATCTATGCACTTAGTTTGTCTGCTAAATATGCAGGGGGGGGGGGGGAGATTTTATGCATTTTCACTATATGATCTACATAGCCCCACCCTAACACCAGAACCCCTGACCCTTGGGTAATGAATTTTAAAATTTTGGTAATGGGCTCAATGCTTGTTACAATCATGCCAACAGTTTGACTGCAAGGAGTAAAGAAGAAGAGTTTTGAAGATAGCAGTCTATGTGAAATTTTTTGGGTTTTTTTTGTACTGGACCCAAACCAAGTTTTGTTAAACCAAAAAACCTAATTAATGTGAAAAAGTGAAATACAGGAAAATGCAGAACCAAGGAAATGTTACAATCCATACAGTTTTAATCACACTCATTTACATACTTGGATTTGTCTGATATTTTTTCTTAAAACAAACATTTTTATGATGTCAAAATATAAAACTCAAAACAGGACACTGAGACATCGAACATTCCAGTGTGATGCAAAAAATGTCACATCAGACCTGATGCACTGTACATATGTCATGTCCAACATATTTGACATAGGCTGAAAATGCACTAATTTTGATGGTTTTGGCCCCAACCCTCAGGTCCCAGGGAGACAGGAACCATGAAATTCAGAATCCCCCCCCCCCCTTTTCACCCATAGATGCTATATATATAGCTGCAGAACTGTAGCATTATGGTTTTATATTTTAGTCTTTGACCATACGCTACAGATCCTGTATTGTAAATAAAGTGCAATTTACCATGCAAGATTTTCTGCACACTTTGGGGATGTATTTTGCCACTTTCCAGCATTGGTGAATCAACGACCTTTCATCCCCTAATTCTAGACATATTCTATAACCAACCTGTATTTTTATCCATCTCCTAACCATTTATAGTCGTCTCTACAGACCAACTGTTGTGAATTTGTTGTCGGATGGCATAACGAGTTTTGACATGATATATGAAAAACTGACAAATATGTTAAAACAAATGCATCTCCTCCTGACAAGGGACGTAACACAGAAGATCAGCTGATTACAAAAGTAGAGGAGTCCTACCCATGGTTTCATATGGCATCTTTGTGTGGTGGACATACAGCTCATTCAGTCTACGTTTGACTTTCTGTAAATGTTCTGCCTGTATTTGTATATCTGTCACTTGTCCCTGAAAACAAAAACAGTTGTCATTGCATCGAATCTGTTAATTTGAAGATGTACAACACCACAATATTCCTTAAATATTCACAGAAAAGACAAAAAAAAAGTTTTTTCCATCTTAAATTCTTTAATATATTCATATAAGCCCAAAGAGTAAGAAATTAAGAAATAAATCAAGATTTATAATTTTATCAATCCAGAGAAGAATTGAAAAGATAGATTAAGTGATGTCTTTTATAGTTACTTCCAATTGTCATTCATGGGTACATTCATAATTGATTCAAACATTTCATAAAATTATGCATAAATAAAGCTCATATAAACAAAACATGACTTATTAAGTGCTTCTACCCTACACCAGCACCTCCTGATGCCTGTAACCTACCCCAGCACCTCCTGAAGGCTGTATCCTACCCCGGCACCTCCTGAAGGCTGTATCCTACCCCGGCACCTCCTGATGCCTGTAACCTACCCCAGCACCTCCTGATGCCTGTAACTTACCCCAGCACCTCCTGAAGGCTGTAACCTACCCCGGCATCTCCTGATGCCTGTAACTTATGACAACACCTCCTGATAGCTGTAACTTACCCCAGCACATCCTGAAGGCTGTAACCTACCCTAATACCTCCTGAAGCCTGTAACTTACCACAACACTTCCTGAAGGCTGTAACCTACCCCAGCATCTCCTGATGCTTGTAACTTACGACAACACCTCCTGAAGGCTGTAACTTACCCAAGCTACTCTAGCACTTCCTGGTGCCTGTAACCTACCCCAGCACCTCCTGAAGGCTGTATCCTACCCCAGCACCTCCTGAAGGCTGTAACCTAACCAAGCACCTCCTGATGGCTGTAACCTACACCAGCACCTCCTGAAGGCTGTAACCTACCCCAGCACCTCCTGAAGGCTGTAACCTAACCCAGCACCTCCTGAAGGCTGTAACCTAACCCAGCACCTCCTGATGGCTTAACTACTCTGGCATTTCCTGGTGCCTGTAACCTACCCCAGCACATTCTGATGCCTGTAACCTACCCCTGTATCTCCTGATGCCTTTTACTTACCCCAGCACCTCCTGAAGGCTGATGAACCATTATTGTGGAGTTCGGGAGAGCTTTCCTCATTCCTGGGGCACCTGCTGCCAACAGGAAGGCTCCCATACTGCAGGCCTGCCCCAAACACCAGGTAGCCACTGGAGGGGAGATATACTGCATTGTGTCATAAATCCCCAGCCCTTGTGTCACGATCCCCCCAGGGGAATTAATGTACATGTGGATGGGCTCCTTGGAGTTTTGAAACTGAAGGAAGAGAAGTTGGGCCACCACAGCTGATGCCATTTCTTCTGTCACCTGAAAAAAATATGGGAAAAAAATAAAAATCAGCCCATTTATTTTATAATTGACATTGTTTCCAGATACTTTCACTAACCTGTTGACTCAAAAATACAATACTCTAAAGACTAGAAAAGCAGATGAATAACCAGTTAATTTGCAACAGGCAAATTCAAAGAAATGGTGTCTTCACTTTGCGCAGCTATGTTAAGGCTGTCCGAAGGCTTAATATGCACTAGATATATACTATTTTATTTTTGAGCTATGTTTTGATTTTAATTTGTAATCTATGTATACATACACAGTTAAGTTGTAAAAAGAGTTGAATAAGGCATTATAAAAAGCATGTTTGTGATGTCACATGACTGTGTTGATCACGTGACGGACACTTATAAATTTTCTTAAATGTTGCACAAAAATCGCATCGGCACAAGTGAAAAACAAAATTATTGTGAACGGCTTATTACATAAATCAATTAAACGTATTCTCGGGTATATATAAAGTGCTGGGGGCAAGTCTGAATTTTATTTCTTAAGAAAATATTTCACAAGAAATTCAACTTACCCACATACAAGGGGTCTTTTTCCACTCTTCATAGCAATTTATACGTAATGTGATTAATTACATACAATCCCCCAGCAAAATTCAGGTAGAGGACACATTTCTCTAGTAGATTCACACAGAATATCTTCAATTAATCCTTATTATTCACTTGTGCTGGTCTAATGTATGTAAGATTTATAAATTCTTACTCTGTCTACGGACGTGTAAAGGGGGCATTTCACATTCTTTTTTGTAATTGTTTGAATACGTAAATGTTAAACAAGAAAAAGGAATAACGATATTATACTGCAAATATTCACCATCAATCAAGACACATGAATTTAACATCAACTTAAAAATATTCTACATGTGATGTGAAAGGAATGCAAAAGTTATGACACTTTCCCCGTCATGTCTGCTCAAACTTGCAGTGACTTTACGTCATATGCCATTATGACGTCATATCTAGGTAGTTCAGAGAAGTTACTACGGCTGGTACACTGTGACATTCTTCGGACAGCCTTATCCTAGCCGCGTGGGTGTTTTAGTGGTTGGGATGCAATTATTTATGGCATGTTGTAACTTCCATGTCTGTTTTTCCTGTCTTGTCAGTCCATCATACAAAAAAGATTTAAATGTTGGAATTTAAAAAAGTGAAATATGAAAGCCCTATATTTTCTCATTCAAAAGTTAAGACCAAGGTTAAAGTTTTTGTGACTGACAGATAAACAGACTGATAGATTAATGACATTTTATCCCCCCTTGCATTTGCAAAAGCAGGTGACAAAAAAGTTGTGTAAAGCACATGCTTAAATCAGCAACAAAAGCCATATAATAATAGCTGTTATTTTAAGGCCAGGATTCCACCCTATGCACCCTGAACTATAGTCAGCTGCTCTACCAATTCAGCTATTAATCCACTAGCAAACGAAAAATGCTGATATGCTCTGGAAGTGACAGCTAAAAGATAAAGGAATTGGTTCAGAGTTTTAGGGGTCAAGGTGACATTTAAGGAGGGAGAATGCTGCAGTCAGGCAGGTTTCCCCAGAGTGTAGATAGTTCAGATAGTAATTCAGAAAGAAGTATCTCTGTACACTTTAGGTTTAAAGTCTTAATATGGTTTATTACATTTATTCCCTTCCTGCTAAACACTCATTAATTGAAAAGTGTTGCAATGATTAAGTGGAGAGAGGTTCAGTTTATTTTATGTTTCTGAGAACTCTAGTATAGAATAGAATGGATATTAAAGAAAAGAAAAGAATAGAATAGAATCCTTTACTCCTTCCAGACTTGATTCAATCAGACATGCATTCAATGGTATGATATCAAAACTTGTCAAATAAAACTGCTCAAAATTAATCATTTTCTGCTATCTAAGAAGACTTACTGGACCAAAGACACACACTATCCTGCTGATCAAGAGTCTGGAGTAAATGTCATACGCCCTCTCTCCTCCGTCCCCCTTCTCTATGACAATAGGAACTCGGTAAAATCTACATCCTACTGGTCGCAGTAAATGATCACAGAGAAACTGAAATATTAAAGATGAGGATTAAACTCACCATCAGGCATGCTCAAGGAAAGGTAGGATTTTGTTCTTATACCAGAGAAATACATAGTTATTTGTGTCAAATAACACGGGCAGATAAATACTGGATATTAATAAATCATGCATTCTTAAGTATTTAACTATACTAATCAAAACAAAACAAAAAAAATCATGTAAGTCCCATGCTGGCATGACATGATCATGGATCATACTTGATGGTTGGTTGTGTAAGTACATTCATGACTGTGTAAAAAAATTATCATATTGACTTAACTACATTTTCTCAGCTTTATCAAAGAGTAAAACCATATAAAACAATACTGTATCGATGTTACTCTTGCGAATGACTACATACTTTTGATGAATGTCGTATCAAAGACAGCATGTTTCGTCTGTCAATGTTGTTCTTACTTTATACGCGCGTGTTACGATTTCATTCTTCACTTCCGGTAAGAGACTCGCGTGTAACACAAGTTGGTTGAGCTCGGCAACCCTGCGAAATGTTTTGAAGATTTAGAACAAAACATTGGATAATATATTTCACACAAAATGTAAGCACAAAGTACTTATGCATATAGATTTTTTAATCAATTGAAGTAGAAATAATTTTCTATAGTATTTGAAAAAACACCGAAAATGTATGGTTGCTAGGGTCACTTGCAGGTGCTCGAAACCATTTTATGTTGAATACAGAATAATTACGCTATGAATAATTTAGAGACTAGAGGAAATAATAAATTTAAAAACTTTTACATTACAGTTTTATCCAAATCATTTTAGTTTTGTTTAATTTGTTTTAAAGATTCTAAAACTGTAAAATGTAGCCTACTAAAATTAACAAGTGTTATTCTTAAGACAGTGTTAGAGCTATCAGTTTTGTTTTAAAATTTTTAGGATGACAGAGTCTTTACACAGTGAGTCGGGTGTGGACCGACAAAATATAATGCGATTGAGAATCAACAGAATTGCTCTGGTGCAGGAACTCAGAACTGAACATATCATTAACTATTTACTGCAGACAGGACTAATATCTGAATTTGACCGTGAACGCATAGACAGAGGAACAACACCAGCAGACAAAGCTAGGAGACTCGTAGACATTGTAACAACTAAAACACATGTACCAGACTGGTATAACATATTTAGACAATCTATCTTATCACCAGAGGGAGCTAATGCTGAGACAAAGAAGCGATATCGCTCACTCGTAGAGTTCCTCGATAACACTGTCATTCACCGTCCAGTATCTCAATCCTCAAAATTCAGCGGTAGTTCCACAGCCTCCATGAAACTGCCACATTACGAACCACTGCCAGAAATCTCCAACTCAGATCAACAGAAGGGAAGGACCAGGGCTGAGGGCCGTAACTATACCAAGAAAAGACTGGAGGAGGAGTTAATGATGGAGAAGGGGGCCAGAGATAACGCACCAGAAAGAGATGACAAAGGATTGGTCAGCCGTGACAAACCACACACCACCATGACATTGGTCAAAGGATTCTTCCAGCAGTGGGTGGCGACCCCTGACAACTTCAGATCCCTTCTGCAGGTTGGAGATGAAACAGAGATATATCATTCAAATCTTCCTTTTTAAAATTAATGAATTTGGTTTATTTTCTAATTTTTGCTACTGAACCCCAAAATAAAATATTTATGATATATGTCTGTTAAACTTTTAGCAACGCAAAGTACTAAAAAATAGATTAATTATTATTCAAGTTGATTTTATTATCTTTAGTGATATTAAATTATTTTTTATTTTCTTTGGGGAACAGGTTCCTGAAGATCAGTTCAGAGAACTTGAAACTTCACAAAACAAATTTGACAAAGCTCAGCTTGAACAAGAGAGACTTGTGTTTGAAAAGATCAGAAAACTGGAGATGGTAGCAGTATTAGCCAGAAGAAAACAGCTCCCTGAGGGGTTTGAACTCTGCATGTGTGAAGCTGTTCATGATGTTTTATTTGACACAAAAAATCACCACATGTATTTTAAATATCTGAGGATGTTAGAAAGATCAGATGTAGATCTTCTTATAGACATTGTGCAATCCTTTGGTTCGGTTTTGGAGGGGATGGATGTTACCCGTGTTGGGTCCGATACCACACAGTCAGCCATTAAGCTGGGTTTTGCACTGATGGATTTTCTGGGTAAGTATGGCTATTTCCAGCAGGCAGAGGGAATAATGACCATTCTCCTGGCCGTTCTCAACCTCTCCCACAATGTCGACTCCTGGATCACCAAATACAAGGGATTTGTCAAGCTGATGCATTTCAGAAACATGAACTATGACTTTAGGAAGGTTCAGAATGCATATGGATTGGTGACTGAGATGGAATGGCAGATTTCTATGATGTCATTTGGTCAGGATGTCCTGGATAAGACTCCATTTTATGTAGAGATGTCGACGCTGATGCTAGAGTATGGATCTGCCACTTCATCCTTTGGTTGGGCACAAAAAGCCAGCAAGGTCAGTTGCACTTGGTTTTTGTCAATTTATGTTTGAAATATTTAATCTGCATGTTAATCAAAAAAGTATGTGTATTTATGCACTCTGGTGGGCACAGAGAGTTAATGATGTACACAGCATGAATAATTAAAAATTAAAAAATCCCCCTTTCCAGTTATCTAAATGATGAAGTAATTCCTATTAATTAATGTTACTTTTAGAAGGATAAGCAGAGGATGAGATTAATTTTAATCAAGTAGTTTGATTTTTACAATGCAGAGCTTTAGATTGACCTGACATTCACCCATAGGATATACTCTTTAAATAATGAATTCAATCAGAGTTTATCATAATCCCTCTAGCTAAGTGTGAGGGGCCATAACTCTGAAATCTTATTCAATTATTTAGAATAATAGAATTTATTACATCCATAGCATCAGTAGACACTAAATTTTATATCATCATATACCAATCAATTTTTTCTTAAATGTTCATTATTCTTTTAAGAGAACATAATTTTTTTTTTTTTTTTTTTTTACATTTTTTTTTTTTACATTTTTTTTCCTTCATTTCAGAGCATGAATCAGGAATGCCCTGCTGATGTGGTGAATGCACTATGTGCAGGGGTGATGGCATACTGCGCTCGATGGAACATAAAGAGGGCAGAAACTTTGGCCATTCAAGCTGTGCAACAAGCTAGGTACCTTATTCTGTCCAATAACATTGAATATTAACTTCAATCTGTTATATAAATTGTTATTTGTACAAAGTTTTTATTAATTTTAAGTATCCACTGTAGTGCCAATATAACAATTGATAAATTAAGTACTTTGTTGTATTTACAAGAATAAGAGAGAGTCTGAGACTGTGATCATTGAGGTATCGCTGTGAAATCAATATTTTCTATACATCCATTGATTTGTTTTAACTAAATTTAATTTCTTTTTACAAACTTCTGTAGGCATCACTTTGGGACGAGCCATCCTTTGTACGTTAAGGCCCTGCTTCACTTCTGTCACTTCTCCAGTGAATTCAAACAAGACAGACAGGGACTCGAGATTGCCAAGGTAACACTTATAATATGTCTACACAGAATATAAAGTCATAGTGCTTTAATTGTGAAATGTCATTTCCCCTTCTGTGTGTCTAGTTATTAGGACCTTTAGTGCCCTATAGTGATCTGTATATTCATCCATTCTGCATCTCTGGTCTAGTTATTAGGACCTTTAGTGCCCTATAGTGATCTGTATATTCATCCATTCTGCATCTCTGGTCTAGTTATTAGGACCTTTAGTGCCCTATAGTGATCTGTATATTCATCCATTCTGCATCTCTGGTCTAGTTATTAGGACCTTTAGTGCCCTATAGTGATCTGTATATTCATCCATTCTGCATCTCTGGCCTAGTTATTAGGACCCACAGTGCCCTATAGTGACCTGTATGTCCATACCTTCTGTGTCCTGGTCTAGTTATTTGGATCCACAGTGCCCTATAGTGACCTGTATGTCCATACCTTCTGTGTCCTGGTCTAGTTATTAGGACCCACAGTGCCCTATAGTGACCTGTATGTCCATACCTTCTGTGTCCTGGTCTAGTGATTAGGACCCACAGTGCCCTATAGTGACCTGTATGTCCATACCTTCTGTGTCCTGGTCTAGTTATTAGGACCCACAGTGCCATATAGTGACCTGTATGTCCATACCTTCTGTGTCCTGGTCTAGTTATTAGGACCCACAGTGCCCTATAGTGACCTGTATGTCCATACCTTCTGTGTCCTGGTCTAGTTATTAGGACCCACAGTGCCATATAGTGACCTGTATGTCCATACCTTCTGTGTCCTGGTCTAGTTATTAGGACCCACAGTGCCCTATAGTGACCTGTATGTCCATACCTTCTGTGTCCTGGTCTAGTTATTAGGACCCACAGTGCCATATAGTGACCTGTATGTCCATACCTTCTGTGTCCTGGTCTAGTTATTAGGACCCACAGTGCCATATAGTGACCTGTATGTCCATACCTTCTGTGTCCTGGTCTAGTGATTAGGACCCACAGTGCCATATAGTGACCTGTATGTCCATACCTTCTGTGTCCTGGTCTAGTTATTAGGACCCACAGTGCCCTATAGTGACCTGTATGTCCATACCTTCTGTGTCCTGGTCTAGTTATTAGGACCCACAGTGCCATATAACTTCTTTGTCTCTGGTCTAGTTTAAGCAGGACACACTGCCCTATAATGATCTGTATTTCCATACCTTCTGTGCCTATAAAAATTTTCACCAATAATGAAATTTGTAAAATCATGAAATTTATTGTTTTTAACCTGTCTTTCAGTACTGTATCAGTACTTTGATTTTTTTTTTACAGTATACACTTAGGACTGCCCAGAAAACCTATGGCTGTGAGATCATAGATGTGGCCTTGGCCCACCGGGCAGTATGTAAGGCCCTGCTGGTCATTCAGGACTTTGAGGACCTGGCTTATTATCACCACGCTACTGAGGCCCTAAGGATTGCCCGGGCTCAGCTCCCTGATCAGTACCACGGAATGATGGCTATGTTCCTTCACACCTCAGGTCAGTATCAGTTGATTCTTCATCTTCTGATGACAGAGATGGGCTGAGTATTGTATTGGAATTAAGGTATTAAATTTGTCTCTCTTTTGAAGGCAGACTTTGTTTTACCCTAATTTTTTGTTCTTTTTGGGTTTTTTTACCAATAACAATGGCCTGGCCATAACTGTTTAATGTGGTCTATAATATTTGGAAAATGTTTTTAAGTCCCAGTTTGCCTTTTTTCATTTTAGTTTATTAAAACATTTTTTTCTACTTTATGCCTAATTTATTTTTTTTACTTGTTTAGCCTCAGCTCTCCAGTGGAAAGCACTTCACACATCAAAGGAGGCCCAGGAACTGACCCTGAAACAAGCAGAAATTGAGGCCAAACAGGCACTGCTTATTGCATCATCCACTTACGGAGAAATCAGCCTCCGGACCGCTCAGATGTGTCTGCTGCTGGGGCAGGTCTACTCCAAAATGGACCAGTAAGCTTTCAGATATCAATAAATAACATGGACAATAATATTTCAGATATCAGTGAACAAGACGGAGCACAAGCTCTCATGTATCAATTAAGAAATGAACAAGTTAACTTTCAGATATCAACAAACAAACAAGATCTCTCAGGTCTGAGATGTCAATAAACAAAAAGATCTGTAAGCTTTTGGATATCAATAAATAAAATGGATCAGTCAATTTATTACAATAGAACATTCATGATACCCAGTAATATTACATGAGTATTTCAGAGGGAAAAAAAAACTTCAAGGATCATATTGTTAATTTTATCCAAAATATGCTTAGTTTCCTAATTCTACCTTGGATTGTATGTTTGACTGAATCTTTTTATGTATATGTACACCTAAATCAGTGTTGTTAGTCTTTTAATTAAGTTTCCTAATTGTGTTGTAGAACTCAGCAGGCAGAGGAGATGCTGAAGAGAAGTGTTCTGTACATGAAACTTTGTCAGCCAGAGAATAGCTACTTCTTAATGTTAGCTAATGCCACTCTGGGCACCTTCTATAAGATCATGGATAAACCAAGGGAGGCTATCCATTTCCTGCAGCAAGTAGTGAATGCACCAGGTACTCTCTCTCTCTCTCTCTCTCTCTCGTTGATATACTGTAAATCACTTTTTTATTCATTAAAACTTTATTTTTGCATAACTACAAGAGAAGGTGTGCTAGCAACAATTTCATTCTCAAGTAAATTTTTATTAGTATATATAATATGCAACCATTAACCAGAATTTGTGAAAATTTTATCTATCTTATAGATACCAAATACTTAACTCCCAAATAAGGTGTCAGGAAAATATCATGATCTACAGTATTCTATTCAATTTTGTATGTAACCGCAAAACATTCAAAACTCATATCTGGCATAGTACATGTTCTTTTGTTTTGAGCATCAATGGAAACCCATATATTCTATTCATATAAAGTTTATAAACCACTAAAGTCATTAGAAATGTTTTCAATCCTGAAAAATATTACTGTTCAGCTCTGCCAAGAAAACTGATACTTTATCCAGTTATTATTGCATGTGCTGCTTTGAATGTTAAGAACCTCTGTAAATACAGTTCTTCTTTATTTCTCAGATTGTGGGGTCTATCTGAAGTGGGTCCATGTCTGCTTTGACACACTGATTGCAACTTTACAATCACTGAACCGTAACAAGGAGAGTGACCAGTGTCAGATTCATTTGTCTAAGTGGCTCCGTGACAACCCAAAATACGACACCATGGTCACGCTCCAACAACTGCAGGAGGAGCCACCTACCATAGAAAAGTTCAAGGACGAGTTTAATGTGTGGGAGAAGAAGGGAAAAGCCATTATGAGTATGCTGAAGAAAGCCAAAGATTAACTTGATCAAACTGCCAAGGGGAGATAATTAAACTGTAAATGAACAAATGTTACAGAAGTATAAATAAAATCATATTTTTTTGGGTCTTTATGAATACATTTTTCATATTTCAAATATGAAATCAATGATCTTAATTTAGTTAATGTTTATTAGGGACACAAAGAGATTACTAGAATGTTAAGAATTCAGTTTCTTACCCTTTGATAAGAATGTTCAGTTCCTGTACCTGTACCTGTTAATCTGATTTTATAAGAACAATGGATATAGCAATATTAAATGTCTGTATGTACACAGGAAGTTGTTGATTACATAGGGCTACTAAAATTTTGTTATCCTTGGTTTGTTACTTTTAATAATAGCCTAATCTGTCTATCATGAGAGAAATCGATTTTTTCCCCATGAATTTAATGTTCAGTATTTTAAAGTCCTAGTTATTAGTGAAACATGAATCATTATGAAAAAAATGTTATTTCAAAGAGCTAAATGTGATACCATTTTGCCCATTCATTATTTGTTATGTACAGTTTTTACAAACTTGTATCATATTGTAATGCACTTTGTACTATGCTCAACTTTTTTTTATTAAATAAACATCATATAAATTGTGCAGTTACATGTAGTAAAGATATGAATGTTGAAGAATTGTTAACAAAATTCAAATTTGCAGAAAGCACAAGATTCCCAGATTTGCATATGATCCCCAAGTCTATAATGAAGGAAGCAACCCTCCCCCCCCCCCCCCCCCCCCCACACACACACACACTTGAATTTGATCTATCCTTGAATTGTCCAAAGCTTTGGTATTAAAATATCCAGACTCTTAGCAATGGTTTCAAAAAGGGGAGTTGATCTTCCAATAAAATCTGACAACCAAAAAAAAAAAAAAAAGAAAGAAAGAAATAGAAAAAAAATGAATAAATAAAACTGGGGGAGGGGGGCAACTTCCCAGAATAACGTGACAAGCAAAAAATGAATAAATAAATAAAAATAGATTTAAAAAAATCCTTAATTGCCCAAATCCTGGAAGCCTCAGCCTTACAGCAACAAAAAAAGGGGGGGGCAGCATCTAATTGAAAATTTACTATAGCAAAATACTATACTGTAAATTATCTTTGTTCTATAGTTTCTATAGTAAAGCATATATTGGCAAAATAATTGGCCCCCAGTGCCCCCCCCCCCCCAACTGGTTGATTCACCATAGTTATATACTGCAATGGACGCATGTTTTCCATTAACGCTGTGGCTCAGTTGGACTCGCCAAGGCCCATTACTCCTATTGTCACAAATAAGCCGACTCGGAAAAGACTGATCACAAAAATTAACTTGGGAAGTTCTCTTCATTCTCAACTTTTACTACATGTAAGTAACCTTTCTTTAACGTAAGAGGGCCATGCCAGCAGATTTTTAATGAGAACAAGTTAGATATAAAAGGTGGTGCACATCCAACAGATATACTGATTATGAAAGATAACTAGCCTCACATTAATGCCCATATAGTGTATAGTGTACACCTCGGTATTAAAGTAATAAAATCAAACTTTCATAACATTATCCATGCGCAGATCTAGGGGAAGGGGGGGGGGCACACCCCTCCTTCTGGGATTTTCAGAGTTATAAATATGGCAGGAAAAAGTTCATGGACTCCCTCTTACCTGGCACTAATACGCTTCCGTATATAAAACGGACCCCTGAAAAAATGGTAAGGAGAATCATGGATTTGAATGAAAGCGACCCCCCCCCCCCCCCACATAACACACACACGCACCTACTGCCCACGAACTAGGATTTAAATTGGTCATTGGATGTGAACCCTCTCCACAGGAAATAATTCCTTGATCCATGCATGTCATATATTTCAAAATTCTCTTTCAATCTAAAATATTACATATATATCTGTGATATTAATAAAATTAAACAAAAAACAACGTCGACCTATTTGTAAACGCTAAAACTCAATCAAACACATGCAAATAGAAAGCCATTTCATTTGGAAGGGGGTTTGGGTGGGTTGGTGGGCTCAACCTCATTGGTTGTCAAATGTCTCCATTTTTGGAGGAGGGGAGCATTAGTGTAGCAAATAAATGTGATAGTTACAAGATTCCCCCTCCCCCAGTTTTGTATTGAATTAATTTTTTTAAAATTTATTTTCGCTGAATAAGATTGAATGAAAATCATAAACATAGGAGAATATCTTGACAAAGAGCATGCTAATTTCACTTGTAAACATTATTCACGCGTAGATAATTTTTAAATCCAGCTATTTGACTAAATTAGACCCAAACCCAAAAATCTTGAGATGCCAACAGTTACTAGATCAGTCGAACCCCCCCCCCCCCTCCCCGCAGTTTTGATTTATTTTCAATGCATAGATTAAGTGAATATATATCATAAAAAAATGGAGAATATCTTTTAAAAAAAACTTGCGATTTAATTTATTAACATTATTCATGCTTAATAAGTTTAAAATCCAGACTTTTTGACTAAATTAGACTCAAACAAAGCCAAGTTGACAAAAATCCAGGAGTTTATATTTCTGTAGGCCTATTATTTTTTTAAGTTCAGAACATTTAATATTGACATAGTTACTTTATTTATTTATTTATTTATTTATTTATTTATTTATTTATTTGATGCATTTGAGAAGACATACGAATTAAAACCAACTTTACAGGTGTTTAAAAAAATCTAACATTTTTCCGGAAATAAATATCTTCAGCTCATATTTTCGCTTTTATCACGGTAGATAAATTTCCAGTTACAAAATCAATCACTCACATGTTCATGATGATGTAAGATCTAGTCTACTAGTAACCTAGAAGGACGCTTGGTTCTTTATATCACTTCTTATGAATTGTTCTTGTATGCTTGATATATCTAAAAGTATGTAAAGTATATGACAGTTTAGCCCAAGGGAGGAGATGGTGAGGAAAATTAAGAAGTCCGTAACGTTGGTCTAGATGGCCTGCTGATCATTTTCAAGACGTTATTTACATGGTAATTCACACTTTCTCCACCATTACAGAACCAGTTTACTGTTTCACTCGATCTTTATGCCTTGCAATAGAATATATTTATTCACCAATCAAGGGCCCTCAGGGGGCATATACAATTATTTCAGAATGATTACATATATTAAATAATATTAAAGTATATTGTAATATGAAAGAATATAAATCATATAAAGCTAAAGATTTAGGCATACTTGTGAAACATGATTTTTTTTTTCTTGAAAGTCTTCCCTCTTCAGATGTACTCTTCCATCTACAACTTTGCCATCTTATATTTATTTTTTTTTTCAAATGATAACATAAAAAATTAAAATCTGCCAGAGATAAGTAACATGATGAAATTGGTGCTATTTGAGCAATTCTTTTAAGAAAATGAAGATTAAAGCTAAGGCTAAAATTTAAAGAGCAAAGACCATCTATCTTTAAATGCCATCTGCAGTATTCATGAATATTTTTTGTATTATTGGAAAAAATGGAAAGTCAGTCGGTCCATAATTGTTGCAGACAATTGCTGCTTAGAATAGTTACAATCTTTGTACATAATGCTATAGGAACAGCAAGATTAATGTAGACCTGGTATGTCAGAGGATTTACGGGAAGAACTGGAAGTTGTCCAGTCCATTTACTGTCGGCAGGGAGAGTGTATCATCAATGGTCAGTGTTTAGATTATATTATTAATAGATTTTTCCACAGGCAGATCATTTGTAAATATTATTTGAAGTGATTATTTTTTTCTGGTATACGTATGCCATTTCTGGAATATGTGTAACTTAATTAAAACACAAAACCGTATTCTATGATAGACACGTTAGGCAGTCCAGAACTAGAGGTGAGGCTTCAAGGAGAAGGGGATGTAACTCTTACAGTCACAGTCAGAATGCAGTTTCCTTCCTTGTATCCAAGGCAACTACCAACAGTTTCCTGTCAATGTGAAGACAGGTCGTTGTCACGGGAACTGATGACAAGTCTCACTGATTTAAGCACACAGATACAGGGTACCCCCATGATAACTGACTTACTGGCTCGAGCTCAGGAAATGATAAATCATCGAGTCTCAGTTGAAGGTAAGGACTGTGTATGTGGAGGAGTCAGACAGGATTTATATACATGTCACAGGGTGAATTATAATTAATTAATTAATATTACTAATTATCATTCATATCATATTCATACATTTGTCTAAAGCATTATATTACTATAGTAACTAGTGAATTCCGTTCTCACTATGGAATTTACTACATTCATTCATTGCCTTATTCATTCATTCTTTCATTTACGAGGGGTTATCAAAAAGTTCGTGGACTAGCGCCATAAAGTTAAAACCGCTTTAGGTACATCAATGAATTTTAACACATTTAGTTAGCATCATCTTTTCTATCTATAGAATTAACCATAAATCATACTTTTTATTTTTTGATAAATTGTTAATGTTTTTGTAAGCAATGGTATGTCCAGGCGGCGCAACCTCAAATATGACGTTTTTTCTACCTGAGTGTAACTGAGAAAAACTGTTTTGATATGAACATTTGTCATAAAAAAAATCCCGTTATTTCAGGTATGTTGTACAACATAATTGTTCCGTAAAATTTGCAATTTTTACCCAATTCTTTAAGTTCTATGAAATTCTATCGTAAATTTTTTATGTAGTGTTCAAAAAATTAAGAGCTTGAAAATGACGTCAAAAGGGGAAGGGGTTTCTTTTTCCTGCATTCTATAAAGTTTCGCACCTGGAAAAACTGGTATAGACCTAGGGAATGTTTAAATGGGCTACAGAAAAAGAAAATGCATCCAGAGTACTTGTTTTTAAATGCCCAAAAAGATTCAGAGAGATGAAAGATGCTCAGTTAATGTTGATTTGTAATCAGGGTGTTAAAAGTCAGTCACGTCGAAAAGTGACGTTGATCACGTTTGGTAGAAATTGAACTCCAACAAGCTAAGTATTCTGGCATAATCAAGTCAGGATATTTCCCTATGTATAGATCCATTTACAGTATCGTATGCATTGAAAGCAGCTGTTCATAACATTGTAAAGTCATATAAACAAGACCTGCTTATGTCCTTACTTAACTCCAGGTAATCTCATCAAGATAAGTGTACGAGATAGAGAGAGAGAGCGGACATTGAGAAACTATGACGTTGTCGGACGTCATGAAACTAAACGGCGACTGCGCTGGGTGACCATATAATGTCTTTTTTATTTTAGAATAATTTGGAAAATTATCAACGTATCGAGCTAAAATTTTCAACATTTCTTAAACTTTTGTTGTTTTAATGTTTCTTACATATTTTGTAAGCACTGACTACATAGTATTAATTTTATCGCATCAGTCCACGAACTTTTTGATAACCCTTTGTATACGGGTGAGTGATCAGTGAGAGTACGGGTGTGTGAATGGTAAAACTGGTTTTATTCTGTCCCCTGCGCATTCGCGCCAATACTAATTCTCGAGCACTCCAACCTAAGACTTTGGGGAGAGAAGACGCTCTCTCTCCCGAACACAACTTTATCTCACGATAATTGTGAACTTCAGTCTAGGAATTACGGTAAGAAATAATTGGTATATTATTTCTAAGGATTCAATTATTATTCAATATCTACGAGGGGTTATCAAAAAGTTTGTGGACTGTTGCGATAAAATCAATACTATGTAGTCAGTGCTTATAAAATTTATAAAGAACATTAATCAACAAAAGTTTAAGAAATGTTGAAAATTTTAGCTTGATACGTTGATAATTTGCCAAATTATTCTAAAATAAAAAAGACATCATATGATCACCCGGCGCTGTCGCCGTTTAGTTTCATGACGTCTGACAACGTCATTGTTTCTCAATCTCTGCCCTCTCAACCTTGTGCACTTATCTTGATGAGATTACCTGGAGTTAAGTAAGTACTTAAGTCGGTCTTGTTTATATGACTTTACAATGTCATGAACAGCTGCTTTCAATGCATATAATATTAATTGTAAATGAATCTATGCATAGAGAAAGATCCTCACTTGTTTATGCCAGAATACTTAGGTTGTTAGAGTTCATTTTCTTCCACACATGATTAATGTCACTTTTGGACGTAACTGACTTTTGACACCCTGAGTGCAAATCGACATTAACTGTGCATCTTTCATCTCTCTGAATCTTTTTGGGTATTTAAAACAAGTACTCTGAATGCATTTTATTTTTCTGTAGCCAATTTTAACTTTCCCTAGGTCTATACCAGTTTTTCAAGGTGCGAAACTTAATAGAATGTTGGAAAATGAAACCCCTCCCCATTTTTGACGTCATTTTCAAGCCCTTAATTGTTTGGAACTCCATATAAAATTAACGAAAAAATTTCATATAACTTACAGAATGGGGTAAAAATTGCAAATTTTACTGAACAATTGTGTCGTACCACATGCCTGAATTAACGGAATTTTTTGATGACAAATTTTCATATCAAACGAGTTTTTCTCAGTTACACTCAAGTAGAAAAATCGTCATATTTGAGGTTGCGCCGCCTGGACACACCATTGCTTTCAAAAACATTAACAATTTATTAAAAAATAAAACTTATTATTTATGGTTTATTCTATCGATAGAAAAAGATGATGCTAACTAAATGTTTTAAAATTCATTCATGTACCTAAAGCGGTTTTAGTTTTATAGCGCTAGTCCACGAACTTTTTGATAACCCCTCGTATTTGAACATTTTATTCAAATCGAGTATTTTCCAAATTATCCAAATTCATAAAATTTAAATTATGATCCATGTAAAAGTGTGAGTGAGGCGAGAGATATTTAATACCTGTTGTTATATTTCAGGTCACCCTTCCTTCTTTGTTATAAAATTCCATAATCGTAGAATCTATATTATATATAAACATCGAACCCAGCAGCCGTGTTGTGTTGTATTTTACCAGTTATAAAAGTTTGTGACATACAAATATTGGTGCTCTCACAATTCAGTTTGTGGAACCACTTAAAATTATTACATTTAAGATTAGATTAATGTCATATCCATGCATATGTAACAAGCTTTACTTATAAATGTTTTGGTGACTTTAGTAATTTTTGAGTCCATTTTTTTTTATGCCCTCATCCTCTAACTTTTCCAGTCTTAATTGAATAATTCTTAAGTGATACCAATTTTTAATCAAATCCTGATCTATCTTTTTGATATTTGCAGCTCAAATCACAGACAACAATCTTGATGAGATTGGTAGTCATCAAACACCAGCACCCTCAGAGGCCCATGGAGGGGGATCAGTGAAAAAGGACCAAGGGGAGGGGACAGTTACAGCAGTATTGTTGCTGGACCATATGCGGTCCAAGACTAGATACATCCAAACCATCCAAAAATGGGTCACCAGTCTATCTATACAAGGCTGCCTGGTCTTTACAGGAAAACTTATCTTTTTAGTCCTTCAAGGACATTCAGCTAATATCAAGGTTACTATAACTTCCTAAGGAAGATTTATTGTTAATGAATGTAATAAACTGAATGTAATTATAGAAAAAATCTTAGTAATCATGGGTTGCACAAAAAGTCAATACTTAATAATGCTGTAGGTCCTTTTGACATACTTTTAAATACACTATTCTTGAATTTGGAAATAATGAAAGAATAGTATGTATTAGTGTTATTTGGTATTAACACCTTAATTGTTTTATCAGGAGTACATCAAGTTACAGAGGAGCAGCAATGTAGATGTGGACAGCCGAGGGAAGAAATGTAAAGAGCGAATGATGTCCGTTCTTTATCAGGGAGTCGTGGAAGGAAAGGGGTAAGTTAATCTGTACGGGGGGAGGAGGACAGTAAACAGAGATATAGTCGCCTTTTTTACATACAAACGCAGTTTGAATGGAACTTTCTTTTGAATACTTACTTTCATAGATTCCAAGACTTTGAAGTTAGAGAGTGTAAAAGTCAGATGGAGATAGAGGAAATCTTCCAGCAGACAGAGTTACTGCCCTTGTATCAGGAACACATTCAGCCACTGTTGAAGTCCTCCAATATTCCACTGACCAAATGAGTGACCAGGGCAGAGTTTTAACCATTTATCAGGATTACAATTAACAACTTACTTAGAATTTTCAATTCATCATAGACCAAATGAGTGACTGAAGCAGAATAAATGTTCTTGATTCATGTGACGTTCAACCTCTGCTGAAATCCTCCAATATCCATCAAGATTATTTTATTAATGGGATTCTTTACGTGGGGAATACCTGAAGTTGAACATAATCTGATGCTTTACTACTGTCCTAAAAGGAGGAGGGGACATAACACACTCACTTCATATCTTCACAGCATTGCATTTATCTTCATATGTGTAATGAAAATGAATTGTTCTTTTCATCATGCATTATCCATACCAGAAAATGAACAGTTTTTAACCACAGAAACAGAACTTTAAAATTAACACATGAGAGTTTACGCCCAAGTAATTACTTGACCAGTGCCTGGGAAAAGTGACCACATCAAAGTGTTGATGACAAGAAATTGTCAGTAGTTATATCTGGGTGATAATGTTACCATTATGTCAGACTTTGTATAAGGAGAGCAATTCAGCAGGTCTCCCATTTGTTCTGTGTGTTAGAAGTTATTATGAAGTGTTGACATATTTCCTCTTTACCAGTATTGTCTATACATTGTGTACATCTTGGATTCATTGAGTCAGATGGCAGTTTGGCAGGACAGTATTAAGACCTTATTTATGTGTAGAGTTGACCTACTTTGTAGATAGGCTTCTGATTCCTGTCAGGTAACAGGAAAATCATAATGTGTGTATATATGACAGGTGTTATAATTATTATACCAGTGTTAATTAGTGTATCAGTGTTAATTCATCCTGCATTGTATACTATGAATTCAGGAAAGATAACTCCTGCACATTTAAAGTACCAATTATTGATATCAATAACTTGGACATTTCAGAAACTGGATGTGGAAAAGGCTGAGCACCAACACAGAAATAAAGATAAAAGATCCTAAATCTTAAGGTAAATATGGCAATATGGAGATATGGAGATAATTGTAAGAAAAAGCTTGGAAAGATTGTGCAGGGTTTATCATCATTTTCAATCAGAAACATGGTCATTGGGACTCTTAAAGAAACTATGTTATAGAAATTTGTGAAGCAGTTTTTACACGCTTTTTTACTGCTTAAATTTTTATGAGGGTTGTCCGGTAAAATCATGGACAAGTTGTCTATAGTTAAAAATAATCATCACTGCAGTCTAAAATTTTCACTACTTTTTAGTACATTTTTACAGCAATATTTTTGTTTATATTTTTTTCTTCTGTAGTCATTTAAAGGCTCTTAGGGCGTCATTACTAAATCTAAATCAAATGGGGGATCAAAATTTTACATAGGAATTTATAGAAAAAAATCTTTAAAAATCTTTTTCTCAAGAACAACAAAGCCACAATTAGTCATATTGATAAGGAATCATCCTCAGGTAGTGTAGATTAAAGTTTGTACAAATCATGACCCCCAGGGGTAGGGTGGGGCAACAATGGGGGATCAAAGTTTTACATAGAAATATATAGCAAAAAATCTTTAAAAATCTTCTTCTCAAGAACAACGAAGTCACAATTAGTCATATTGATGTGGATTCATCCTCAGGTAGCGTAGATTCAAGTTTGTTCAAATCATGACCCCTGGGGGTAGGGTGGGGCCACAATGAGGGATCATAGTTTTACATAGGAATATATAGGGGTAAAAAAACTTGAAAAATCTTCTCAAGAACAGCAAAGCCATGTTTTGTCATATTGATATGGAAGCATCCTCAGGTAGTGTAGATTCAAGTTTGTTCAAATCATGACCCCTGGGGATAGGGTGGGACCACAATGGGGGATCATAGTTTTACATAGGAATATATAGGAAAAAATCTTTTCAACAACAGAAAAGCCATGTTTAGTCATATTGATATGGAAACATCCTCAGGTAGTGTAGATTCAAGTTTGTTCAAATGGGGGGGGGGGGGGGGGGGTAGGGAGGGTCCACAATGGGGGATCAAATTTTTAACAAGGGAATATATAGGAAAAAAATCTTTAAAAATCTTCTGCTCAAGAACAGCAAAGCCATTTGTTATATTGATATGGAAGCATCCTCAGGTAGTTCAAAATCCAAGCCCCCCCTTTTTTAAACTTTCCAATACTGAAGTGATTTGTGCTTTTTCCTAGCCAATGTGCTCAGGTGAGCAATGTGACCCATGGGCCTCTTGTTGTATTTTCAGGCTGAAAAACATGTTGAGTTAAGGCTTTGTATTTCTGACTTGGACCATCTTGAATTCCCTGTTTTCATGCTGGTCCAACGTGTAACCTTGTCTTCTGATAACAGGAAAATTGAGATCTTGCTCAGATGTGAGATTTAATATAGTGCATCTTCATTCAGTTTGAAGTTAAAAAAATTGAAATGGGAAATAAGCCTCCAAAAACTTTAATTTGATATAATAGTTAGATCTTGTCAGCTGATCTATTAGTGGATGGACACACTTAGCTGTTTAAGACATACTATGTATAAAGATCTTGTTTCCTTGGAGTGACATTGGTGTAGCTTCCAGACATATGTTTTACTTGTTTCACTAATTAAAAGTCTTATTTAATGTTTAAAAGTTGTGTCAAATTAGGAAAAAAATCATCAGCTGTTTCAGAAAAAAAGTATGATGATTGTTGGAAGGCAATTTTCCTACAGTTTTTAGCTCACCTGAGCCGAAGGGTCAAGTGAGCTTTTCTGATCAAAATTTGTCTGTCGTCGTTGTAAACTTTTCACATTTTCATCTTCTTCTCAACAACCACTGGGCCAATTTCAACCAGACTTGCCACAAAGTATCCTTGGGTTAAGGGGATTCAAGTTTGTTCAAATGAAGGGTCACACCTTCTTCCAAGGGGAGATAATTATGAATTCGTGAAAAATTAATGGCATCATTTAAAAATCTTCTCAATAACCACTGTGTTTGAAAATAAGAAACTTATATGGAAGCATCCTCAAGAAGTGTAGGTTCAAGTTTGTTCCAATCATGACCCCTGGGGTAGGGTTGGGCCACAATGGGAGATCAAAGTTTTACATAGGAATACATAGGGCGATTCTTCAAAAATCATCTTCTCAAGAACAGCAAAGCCATGATTGGTCATTTTTATGTGGAAGCATTCTCAGGTAGTGAAGATTCAAGTTTGTTCAGATCATGACCCCCAGGGGTAGGATGGGGCCACAAAGGGCAACCAAAGTTTTACATAGGAATACATAGGAAAAATCTGTAAAACTCTTCTTCTCAAGAACAGGAAAGCCAAGATTGGTCATATTTATGTTATGTATATCAATAAAAATTGTCTTCTTAAGAACAGCAAAGCCATTATTTGTCATATTAATTCAAAAGCATTCCTATGAAGTATAGATTCAAGTTAGTTCAAATCCCCCCCCCCCCCCCCCCCAGCAAAGCCATTATTTGTCATATTAATTCAAAAGCATCCCTATGTAGTGTAGATTCAAGTTAGTTTAAATCAACCCCCACCCCCCCTTGAACCACTTTTATATCAAAACTGGGCCTTTTGTTATTGTTTACACTTTTTATTGCAAAATAGTTTGATGGAAAAGTAAAAAAATAAGATTGATATATTTATTTAAGATTTTTTTTCATATTGGCCATGAAACATAAAGGACAAGTGCACTTAAGCAATGCTTAATGGGCCCTTTTTCAGTGCTGTTTTACTTAAGAATATATTACCAAATTGTTCTTTTTTGGTAATAGTTAAACACAAGTGGATATTTCTAATTAAAATCACGTTAAAACATCATCTAAATCAGCATGGATTTAAAACAAATGAAGATTTTTAAATGCTTATGGCTACCCCAAATCCAGAAAAGTCATACCGAAACTATTTTGAGTTTGTTTATTTAAATTAAGGGGAGGAGACATTCAAATCGGAGACTTGAACAATCTGATGGTGGATCATTGACGGGCATGTTTGCCGAATGATACTTACGCTATTTTACTTGAGAAAAAAATCGAATGAAGGTGTATAGATGCCTGTAGCCACAGTGATCAAACTAAGACATTTGCATGCATGCATTTGAAATAATACAATAAGTATTACCATTAGTTCCTTTAAATTTTAAAATGAAAAAAAGTGTATTAAGGTGGCTTTCAATACCAGTACCTTTGTCTTGCATGAATGTTAAAAATGTTTGACGCTTTTATGTATGATGACATTTTAACGACACTAAACTCTCCTAACCCTTCCGTGTTCCTAAAACAAAATACATACAAACTTCTCTATGCGGCACGACTTCGATATAATTATACAAAACGTGGCTATCTTTTACAGTTTTACAGTAGCACCTTTGAGGAATGTTTAACTGGGTAGAACTCACGTGACTACCGGTATTTTAAATAATTTATTTCACTAGTGGGTTCAGCATAGGTCATACAGGTAAATAGCTCTAGCTTGCTATAGGAAAAACATTGAACTTTTCATACATTTTTAATGTTTTAAGTACAAGCCTAATCTTGTACAAATTTCCTACTTTCACACAAGTTTTATAAATGTATAATGCACTTTTTGTCATTCGCACAAGTTTGTACAACGTTAGGCTGACAGTAAACAAAAGTTTTGAAACGAATGATGGTCCACGATTTACTATAGAAAATCACGAATGTCAGCTGACCCCTACCATATTGTATGGCTTTGCTCTTTGTATATTCATGAATTTCAGCGATAAAATTTGTTGAATCTTATGGTTTAGATATCAATTAATGATCTGAGATGAAAAATTATGCTTAATTTGATTTTTCATTTTTTCACATTTTACTGGGGCCCTTAAGTGCACTCATTCTTTTTAACATTTCTAGCAAGAGGGAAATTCCTAGCACATGATAGTGCAATATTACAAGCAATGATTGGGGGAAAATTAAAATTCAGAATGACTTTAGGAGAGTTTTTGTCTTGTGCTCAGTGTTAAAGATGTTTGGAGATTGTTTATATTCTCTTAGCTGAATAAGAATTAGTGAGTTTTTAAAATAAATATGACTGGTCATCTCTGCCGCTGTTTTTACAAGAGAAGTATTTTAAAATGGAAGTTCTGAGTGATTCAAGTACCATGGACACTTAATTATTCTGTATAAATGACCATGCCACTCTCAGAACACTTTTCTCTGTATTGACAAACTTGTCTTCAAAGCAATTGATTCTCTTTAAAAGAAAAAAAAGTAAAAGCTTTGTGCTTTTATGGAATGAGATGTGTCTCTGTCAAATGATCTCCAGAAGTGGTCTGAGTTTAGGGGGGAATTGGAGACTGGTAAGTGAAGGGTGATTGATGAAGAAACAGGGATAAAAACTGAAATCAATAAAGGGGAGTGCAATCAATTCCTCACCATCAGAAAAGATCAGCCAGGCTGAACAATTAACCAAGCCACAGGTAATCTCCCATAATTCCCATCATCTGGGGAGGAAGTCATAGAGAGGATGCCTGATTGGTCGATATTTTATGGTAGTGATCAGGTTTCTTTTCCAATAAAAGATCATATAATTAAAGATAACCAAGAGATAATCAAATGATCCAAAATGACCTTGGGCAGAGAAGGACAGTGTTATTTGATTAGTATCAAAATTCTTTGTTCCACAACAGTATTGGTACAACTTCCTTAACGTTCATCATCTTTCTGCTGCTCAGTCATATTAAATTTTTCCTTAACACTAT